CCTTGTCACTGCCCACCTGCATGGCCAGTAGTGGGTAATAATCCAAGGGCCGTAGCAGACCGGGGAGTTTCCTGGTGATGTCTCTAACCCAGGCGCCAGGCAGGCAGCAGAGTTCCCCGTGAGACGGGTCTGGTCAGCCTACCAGGCCCTCTTTTCCCCTCAGAAGGAAATCGCCTACAACAATGACTCTGCTTTCCTTAATGGTGGCAGTTGTAACGTGTGGGGCAGACGGAGTCATCCTGGACAATCCCCTGGATGGACCTTCCTCTTCCTCCCCCATTGCCTGGCCTTTGTGTTCCAGAGCCCCATCTCTGTTCTGCAAGGGCAGCTGGGAAGGGGAGTGAGGGCAGGAGGGGATGCACCTGCCTTGCTGAGCAGGGACCTGTTTCTGTTCCCCTTCCTTTCTTAAATCCCTTCCATCTGCCTGGTGACAAGAGTATATGGGATCAAGGAGCAAGGACAAAAAGGAATTTCAAATACTGACTAACATGGTGGGGCACCGATGGTGGGCTTATCATAAATATTGAACTCTGTAGGCAGGGGATAGGATATTCTTGTTCTTTCATCCTCTGAGCCCTTGGAAGAACTAGAGAGAAAATACACTGGTTGTTTCGACCCCTCTCTAACAAAGTTGTATGTCCTACATGTGGTCTGACATATATGACATGAAAGTAAAGCAAAATAAGAAGTGGAAAACTTAATATTTTCATGTTCAGTATGAGAATTTTGAGTAATGTGAGAAAACCAGTTCCAGACGCTAAAGCATGCAGTGCTCACGGACAGTTTGCGTTTCCATGAAGCACAAACTATAAATGTTACTAAATTGATTAAGGTGATAATGCCTGCTTTTTTATAAAAAGCATTTATAATGATGTATTTTTTTAAAAGGTGATTTAAAACTAGATGTTGGCTAGAAGATACTCAAGGGATATTGTTTAAATTTTTAGCCTTTTCTTCCATCACAAAGTAGAGTGGAATATGATTCAGAAGAGAGTCAGGAAAGTGGTGAAGATGATGAAGATATTGATGGGGATGTGTTTGCATCAAATTCACATAATCAAGAACATTCTAATTCAAATTCATACAGGTAAGTAACTCTTTAGAATGCAAGATGTTCTGCAATGACTAGACTTGCATTTCTGGCCTTTTACTTTTGAGTTAACACATCACTTGATATTTCATGGCAGCGCATTTTCTACTCTTTGTACTTAATTTTTCACAATGAGAATTTTACTCATTAATACGTGGTATAATGACTTTTTAATGCAAAGTATCTGTAATATTCTAAAATACTCTTTGCAGTTTTCAGCAGTTTATAATGAGGATTTAAACCTCTAAATTTATATCCAAATAGTGAATAAGTGAGAAAAATTTATTTTCCTATTAGTAAATGTCTTACTAGTGCTTTCTTGTTAGTTGGTCACTGATGAGACTGGCAATGGTTCAGCTGGTACTTCACAATCTGAAGATTTTCTACCCTTTGGCTGGACATGATCTTTCAGGTAATAAGCAACAGAGTTGTCTCTTCATACTTAATAATAAACACCTTTAAAATGGGTAATGTGTTGTATAGTATATATGTTGTAGCTTTATTTTTAGTTCAAAAGTTCTTAATTTTTCCATGATCTGGGAATAATTGTTCTCATACTGTTTATCATACAGGTATATTTATGAAATAACATGCTGGATGGGTAAGATGAGCTGGGTGAGAAGGGGTGCTCAGTAGTTAGGAGAAGTCTCGCATACTTAGTTTTTTCTTTGTCTCTTAGTTATACAAGAATATTTACAATATTTTTTTTCTTAGTGGAAATCCTCTTGGGTTTTATAATTCATCTTACATCATTCCTACTCCTTGTTTCAAAGCATCATGGAGTGGTTTGTGTTGGAAGGAACCTTTAAAGATGATCTAGTCCACCCCAACCTTGTCATGGGCAGGGGCATCCTTTGCTCGGTCATGTTGCTCATCTGACCTGACCTTAAACACTTCCAGGAATGGGGCATTTACAACTTCTCTGGTGACCTGTTCCAGTGTCTTGTGATCCTCATCGTAAAAAATATCTTCCTTTATAGCTAATCTATATCTACTCACTTTTAACTTAAAACCATTTCTCCTTGTCCTGTCACTACAGGCCCTGATAAAAAGTCTTTCTCCATCTTTCTTACTAGTCCCCTTTAAGTACTGAAAGGCTTCTGTAAGGTCTCTCTGGAGCCTTCTCTTCTCCAGGCTGAACAACCCCAACTCTGTCAGCCTGTCCCCATAGGAGAGGTGCTCCAGTCCTCTTAACTGTTTTTGTGGCCTTCCTCTGGAGCCGCTGCAGCTGGTTCATGTCTCTCTTGTACTGGGGGCCGCAGAGCTGAATGAAGTACTCCAGGTGGGATCTCATGAGGGAAATTAGAGGAGGTGAATCACCCATACTCTGCTGGTCACACTGCTCCGGATGCAGCCCAGGATCTGGTTGGCTTTCTGGGCTGCAGTCGCACATTGCCAGCTCATGTCCAGTTTTTCCTCCACCAGTATCCCCAATTCCTCCTCCGTAGGGCTGCTTTCAATCCCATCGTCCCCCAGTCTCTACTGATGCTGGTGATTGCTATGACCCAGGTGCAGGACCTTGCACATGGCCTTGCTGAACTCCATGAGGTGGGCAGTGGCCCACCTCTCCAGCCTGTCCAGGTCCCTCTGGATGTCATCCCTTCCCTCCAGTGTGTCGACCGCGTCACACAGGTTGGCGTTATCAGAAGCATTCTTAAGGTGTGCTCACAACCACTGTCATTTATCAAAGATAATGAACTGTACTGATACCAGTACTGCATGCCTGAGGGACACTTGTTACCTGCAACTCTTTGGATGTAGACATTCTGCCAAATCCTTAACCATTGAGTAGTCCAGCCATCAAAACCATATCGCTCCAATTTGAAGGTCAAGCTGTTGAAGGACCATGTGAAAGGCCTTACAGAAATCAAAAGTAGAGGATGTCATTTGCTCTTCCCTTGCCCACCAGTGCAGCCAGTTCATCATAGAAGGCCACCAGATTAGTCAGGCAGGATTTGTCCTTTATGAAGCCATGTTGGCTTTCTCTGATCACCTGCCTGTCATCCATATGCCTTGACACAGCTTCCAGCAGGATGTGTTCCACGATATTTAATTTCTGTCAGCACTGGAGAAGGCTGTTTCTGTATTTAGCCATGACAGCACAAAGCAGTTCATATTTTTATACTTGCAAATATCAAGTTAAGCCTTTAATAAAGCTGGGTTTTTTGAGAGACTTGAAATTCACTTCAGCATTCAGCTGTGGAATTATCTTCGTCAAGGTTATAACGGAGAAGGAAGGCTTCTTACTGTTGTTTTATTTGTCTTTGTAGAGCTTCCAGTTAGCTCCCCAATATGCCATGCAGTTTTGAAAACACTACAGCGCTGGGAACAAGTTCTTCTCCGACGTCTTGAGCTCTACGGCGGTCCACCTCAACATTATATATCCGTTCATGCTTCTGAAGATGCCCTAGCTGCTGGTCCTGCGTTGCTTCGCCACAAAACTTTACTTGAGCCTACAAACACTCCATTCAGGTGAGTCTGATTTCTATAAACACTATAATATCTTTAATGTACATCAAGCATTACATTGTTACTGCATGTGATAGACCGTAACTTCGATAACTGTAATGGCTGTTCCTAGACTTGCTCTGATCCGTTGTGGAATGGTGGGTACACATCAGGATTCATGCCTCTGTGGTCTGAAGCAAGATCAGGAAAAACAATGGAAACTTTCTTATTAAGTTATTTTACTGAAGCTTAACATACTGATTTTGAGTGTCTGTGTGGAAAAAATGTGGTTGACAATAAAATCAAGAATAACAAATTTGCCTTGAGAGATAATTAATGAGAAAGACAATGAATTAAATAATTGCCCCACCTTTGGAGGGAATAAAATTAGGTCCTTACCACTATCTTTTCCCAAATTTAGATAAGAAACAATTACTTTTTATAATACTGGCAAAGTTGTGCCTTCACATAATTGCAAGTTCAGCCAGGAAAGTGTGCTCAGTTTCTTAAATTGTCACTTTTTAAATAGTTTTCTGCCTTTTTAATTGCACTACTGCCTTATAAGTCTTTCTTTTTGTTATAAAATACCTCACAATTTTCGCAGTTAGTTTTAGTAACTTGAGTTGACTAAAAAGGATCAGCTTAACATGTCTTTGCTGTCTGGCATCATTTTTAAATTATCATTTGAGGAGATTCAGGGCTCGATGTTTTTTCTCCTACCATAAGCAGCTATATATGTATTCATAAGTTTTGCTTGAGCATACAGTTTCTAGCATAAACATTTGCAGTCTGACCTGATTGTACAATCCTTCCAATTTTGTTACTGAATGGTCAGGTTTGTTTCAGAGGTGTTACACAGCTGATGATGCCTTCCTAGCAGGAAGTGTTAGTCACTCATTGTCCTTGTGATTTAGCAATAAACAGAAATGATTCATGTTGTAAAGAATGAGGTGGACTAATAAATAATCCGTATGCTGACCTTACTGTTGTGTAATCTCTTCAAGAGAGTTTTTTTTTTCTCACTGGTCCCAGGATGGGAGGTGAAAATGCTACATGTTCTTTCCCTTCTTCATTCATCATCTCATCTCATACGTAGGTTTGTCAGGAAGGTGGTAGCAGGATACTTCCAAATGGGTCTTGTACAGCGTTTAGAGTGCTGTAGTTTTGCTTTGGCATATCTTCTGACTACGGTTGGATTAGAATATGACATCTCAGTCTCTTGCAAATACAAGCATGATGTAAATGTTTATTTTAACTGTGTTCTGTAGATTTAACAGTCATGCTGCGCTGTCTGTGAAGAGGCTCTGGCAGTACTTGGTTAAACAGGAAGAAGTCCAGGAAACCTTCATCAGAAATATTTTTACAAAGAAGCGATGCCTAAATGAGGTTGGTACATGAAATGCATAAAGTGAGGCAGGTCAGTCTATGAGCTTTTACTGAAGTTATTTTGCTGGCTTGTTTACTTTCCAGAGCATAAGCAGATAATATACTTGTGACTCTACGACTCTAAATCTACAGTATATGGTATTAAAAATCTTTGTCCATGGTATCATTGAAAACAAAAAATAATCAGTCTTTGACTGTAGACTGACAAACAACAACATGTAGCTACAGTCAGCTTCTTCGTTAAGATCCATGTAAAAGCTGCCTCAAAAGAATGACAGTTTAAAAATTCAGAAATTAAAATAGTATCCTAATCAGTCAGTGCTCAGAAAGTTTGAGTTTGTCCCTACCATAGTCATCACCGTTTTCTGTCATGTTATGATTCAGTTTTAATAAGAAAAATGGTCATAAACCAGTTAATATTTCTGTCCCTGATAATTTGTCTCCATGCCTAGGTGGATTCCAGGTTCCAAATTCAGTTAAATGTTTTGAAGTTGTGGTTCTGTGATGGAGTATGGGGTGTTTTGCTCCCTCTTCAGTTGCTTCTTTTCTTTCTTACTCTCCCCTACTCCAAATAATTCAAAAGAATAATTTTTAGTACAGGAAAACTATGGAGTAGCAGAAACATAGGAGAAAGAAGCAGATCCAAACATTAAACATGGAGGAGAGAGTATTCATGGCTGGAAAAGCCATGGCAGAAGGAGTTCTGTGTGAGCTAATCTTTGTCCTGTCACAGCTAGAATATTAGCTTGTTTGAGTATTTGTGCTCACTACCGATGGCAGTTAAAAGGGAAATTGTTCTTTTTGTCTTGTCCTTTGAAGAAGCACCGTTTCTTATCATGTCTTATGTTGATGCAGCCATGTTTCCTTGCTGTACAGAAGGGAGTTTTGGAGTATTTCATATGTTCTTTATGTGTTTCCAAGTAGGATTGTTGACAGCCTTACACAGCGTAGGTGTGCTGGCTTTGTTTTGTATCCTCCTGGTACTGATGTCAGTGGAGATGACTTATTTTACAAGAAATTTGACTTTTGAGATGCTTGAGATGCTGTTATAGTGCGGAATAGGGAAACCAGTGTCTTCTCCACAGACTATAGTTTTAAATTTGATAATTGCTGTCACCACATAATATGTGTGTGTGCAAACATGCTGTTGTGTTTCAACTGTTCTGTGTTTGGGAAAACAACAAGGAGGTAAGGATTTCCTTGATACCTTGTGTGTTATGTCTTATCTTCTTTGTTCTGTGGTTGTTCTTTCCTGGGTGAAGTCAATAGACGAGCACAATGAAACCATGAAAAATTCTGTGGCGGAGGAGCCCATCATCAATAAGGTACAGAGTAGCAATGCTCAAATTACCGTACATAATTATGAAATATTTCATTTTAAAAATGGTGCTGATGTCTCTTTGCTAGCATAGCAAATAAACTTGAAAATTCAGTTTTGCAAGAGGTAAGACTCATCTTGTTATGGACCCTATATAAATATAGAAAACTGAATTAAAGAACCAGGTAAGAACAATGTTATCATCAAACTTCACAGCTATGCCAAGTGAAGAGCTGAGGGCGAGATTTCCCCAAGTGACAAAAGGTCAGTAGTGCTAGGAATGTCATGCACACAGGACCTTTCACCAGTATGAGATGGCTAGAGTGGCTGCCTGGAACAGCAGAAGGTTAACTGAAATCAGAGCAGTTTGTTAGCATCATGCTATTTTACTACTGAAAATTTTCACTGACGCTTAGTTTTAAGACGGTGACAAGTGAACCCATATAACAACTGTGTAGCAGCTTTCTTGAGAGATTGGTAGGAGTGAAAAGGCATAATACCATGCCTAGAAATGCAATTAAATACTGATTCTTCAGGCTTTCTTTTACAAAACTAGTAAAACATAAATGAGATAACCATGTGATGTCCTTGGGCTGCCTTTTTATTGTTAAGTATGCTGTAAAGAAGTATTAGCAAGTAGGTGATTGGAACTGACTGGGGAAAAAATAATCTTAATTTCATGTGGTTTGTTCACCACCCAATGCAGATCATGTTTTTGTGTTTCTCTCTGCAGTTTTGTGCAGTTTTACGTTTTTAAGATCACTGGAGTATCAACTTTTGTTTTAATTTTAAAAATGGTGTTCTGCTTCATGGTGTGTAACAGCTATAGACTTTTTTCAGACTTTGAAAAAGGCTATTTGCAGTTCTTTGACAGCACCATCTTCATGTTCTTCAACTTAAATATATCCTTGTATAAATCTTTAGAAGACATTCAGAGAATTAAGAGTCAGGGAAACGGTAGTTCTGCAACAATTCTTTGTGCTTTGAAGAAAATACTAAATCTTAATGTTTGTAATTCAGGTTTGAATTTTTGTCACCATTCTTGCAGTGCCAATATTTTTTACTATAAAATTATTTTGCAACTACAACAGACTGGAGTCTGTAATCTGTGAGTTTAATACTTACAATTCTGAGCTCTTTAATTTTGAACAGGAGTACTACACTGCTGGTAGAGTTCAGAATTCTGTTGTGTGCTGATAATACATCTACTTGCATTTCTGAAATACAAATAACGTAGACAAGATCCAAATACAAGATTAGGTTACATAAAGGGGAAAAAAATGAAATGTGATAGTAAAAAGTTTGAGGTACTGGAATGTGCAGGATTCAAAAGTTATAAGCTGACACAGTTCAAATTTATATTCCTCCTCAGGTTCTTGTCTGCACCTTCTTTTGGTGTATTTTATTAGTTTCAGTGGCAAAGAGTGTTTGCTAAAAGCATGAAAAGTCTTAGCAATTTTTTTTAAGAACAAAATGTTGTGTTTTGGTTTTTTTTTAATGGACACCCCCAGATGCATGTAGCCTTGCTGGTTTTCAGTATTCCTGAAAAACTTGAGACTTGAGTACTCTGACTTCCGTGACAAATTACACTTTCTGTGTTGCTGTGGTAATATCAACATGGCAGTGGAAAGCTAGATTGTTACACACCAAACAGGATTACTGTGGTTATTACAGGTTATATTTTTAATATTTTCTTAGAAATAAAATCAAGGAAAAAATACATGAAATTTCACATGATCCAGTGTTTGGTCTCTGTACTTCCAGTAAAAAGTGGTGTTGCATGGAAGTTTGCATTGAAATATGCTTTACTTTCTAAATACAGATAGAAACAGATTTGGGATACCCAGGAGGCAAGGCAAGAATAATCCATAAAGAGTCTGACATCATTACTGCTTTTGCAGTCAACAAGGTGAGGATAACCTAACTGTGTTGTGCTTCCATATGATAAACAGGTGGCAGTCCCGTTGTGAATGGGCCAGAACTCTTAGCGCTCCCTTCTCTAAAGCACTTCGTAATTACCTTTTCATAATTAAACAGTTCTGCTACAAATTGCGTTTCCTTCCGTTATGCAGTGGATTGAGGTAAAGGAGAGGTGACCTCTGCTTTTTCTTTAAGCTTGAACAGGAATATTTTTCCTTCTCTCTCACAGCCTGGAAGTCATCTTTTCTTCTCCTTTTCAAGGCTTTAAGCCTTAAGAAGTGGAGAAGGGGAGCTTGGTTGCAAGCATTGTAGTGTGGTTACCTATTGTTTCTCCTCTGAGGAAAGCAAGCAGAGTCTACAGCTGCCTGAGAGATGTATAAAATACAAACAGTGTGTGATGCTAACCCAGATGCAAGCAGACTTTTAAAAGGGAAATGTTGAGTTCAGATAGTTTAAGTATATAGATTTGTAGCCATAAATGTTTGGGGTTTGGAAAATTGATTGTCTATGGTTTTGTGAACCATGGACCTAATTGGTACCATAACCAGAGAAAATAACCAAAAAAAAAAAAGAAAAAAGCACCTTTGAGTATACCTTCTGTATCTGCCTTTCTGTGTATTACTTTTTTTTCAGGCAAATCGGAACTGCATTGCGATAGCATCGAGTCATGACATTCAAGAATTGGATGTTTCTGCGATTTTAGCCACACAAATCTACACCTGGGTTGATGATGATGTGGAATTAGAAAACAAAGGGTATACTTTTTATGTTTCCACTATCACAGCTGAACTGTGCATTAATCAGTGTAACAAAGCACAGTATTTAATGTTGTTCTTCGGAATCTAACTTACAATGTTGTTTCATTTGTAGGGCTGATGATTTCTTAGTTATACATGCTCGTGATGATCTGGTAAATGTTCAGGGAACCACTCCTTATACTCATAGTAATCCCGGCACACCTATCAATATGCCTTGGCTTGGTAGTACACAAACTGGCAGGGGTGCATCTGTGGTAAGTCGCTTGTCAAAGATTTAGCCTTATGTACTCTGTCTCTTTCTCTCCTTTTGTTTGTTCCGTGCTGCTGGCTATATTTTACAGTTAGCCTGTAAGTAAATGTAGCTTTTCTGTGTAATCGGGGGAGCTGGCATTTTTTATAATCATCTGATTAATAGGTTAAAATGCTGCACGGAATTTAAGATACACCATCTAAGCAAATAAGGTTTTTAATCAAGCCATAGATGCTTTCTTTACTTAAGATACATTGTTTAAAAATAAAGAATTGGGGGTCAGGTAAGAAGTTGCAGCTCAAATTCTCCTTAATGACTTGAAGCCAAATGCTGTATCTAAAATCCATGTATTCAGGACACTTAAGGATATAAATTCCTAAAGATTGGGTAGAAATATTTGTGTGATATGTTGAGGTAGCTTTTATTTTAAGCATAATATCTAGTTTCATTCTGAGTTCCAGACTATTCCGGTTTTTATTTAAGAGTAAATACCAACTGTGTATTAGTATGAGCCTGTATTAAGGGACAGCAAATGAATTCCTAAAGCAGATTTCACTGGCAGAGGAGAGGCTTCAAGTGATAACATTAACCTCTGGAAACTCAGCAACTTGCAACAGGGAAAAATGGGGATTCTTGGTTTCGTAAGAAAAATGGGGAAGGCAGGACTGCAGAAAGAGGACCAGCTACAAACATCGTACGTAGTTTGGACTGCGCATCAAGCTGAAGTATGGTTATCTTCAAAGATGGCAGAGCTGACGAGCTTTGAAGTGCTGCACAGTTTTGCCATCACTCTGCTTAGTAGCATTAGACAATCATGTTCGCTGTCTGGCATTTTTGAAATACACTGAGTGAGGGACACCGCACCCATTAACGTGTGACTGTCCACATGAGCATCCTTCTTATGCTAGAGGTGGTACATGCATAAGGGTAGCTCTTAACTGTTAGAAAGACATTCTGTGTTTGGGGTGACGCTTGGCCCTGCGCAAAAAGCTATTGCCTCAGATTTAATTCAGATAGAATGATTAATCTAGTCTGGCCATTGACATTCTTACCTTAGTTCCTGTGCTGCATAGATGCTCTCTAATCATGCAGATCTGTGAATTAGGTAGCTGGGAGATGCTTCTTTGGAGCCACTTAAGTGGGCTGAAATGGTCATACGAGGCACCCATACCTCTCAGCCTGTCTGCACATAGATGTGGAGATTTTGCTGGATAACATTGTGCCAGTGCTTACACCTCTCCCTTCTATTTAGGAACTACTCATCCTAGTTGCCAATTTTTTGCAGCTCTGGTATCACAGGCAGGTCTCTTACACAAGTATAAGGCCTTTGCCACTTCCTCCTCGCTCTTCCATGTATATACACACACACACACACGTGTGTGTAGAATTTGTGTGTGTTTGTGTAGTTCTCAGCAAAGTAATTACATAATCTACTAACGTAAACTGATCTTACGTGACTTTCTATTCGATGCGTTGTAGAACTTTCTCACCTGAAGGTACATGGTAGTGCTGGTGTTTTCTGTGTTCGCTGTTCAACTTCGGACCTAAATTTTGTGTGGCGCACTGTTTGGCTGTGGCAGAGTAGAGCACACAACGACACCTGCCCACTAGGGAGGGGAGACAAAGGTAATGAGTGAAGGGCAAAGTCAACGAAGGAAGATAGAGGGAATCTTGGGTGGAAGTAGTGTTACTGTGGAAGGACTCAAACCTGGAGGAAAACCAGCTTCACCAAAAAATCCTTGTTGCTATTATTTGTTACTTTGTTCCTTTGGATACTGGTTTTGATCTTTGTTCCCATCTTTGCTTTTCCATCACCTGCAGCCCATTTAGTAGATGTAGTCCACTGTTCTTTACCATTACTGACTTTTCAGTCCCGTTGTCTTTGCTTCACTGCCATCATCAAGGGAACTATTGGGCTTGTGGTACTCAGGCCGTTAGTAATTTTTATTAGCTTTAAAATAAAAAGGGGTGTATGTTATTCTTCTTCACTGCTTCCTGTTACACAGTTCATGCAAAGTAAGCAGGAGGCTCACCACCACATCCTTTAGTACAGCGTGTTTACAGAGTTTTTACGGGAGGTGTTTCTGTCAGTGCAGACTGTCAGTTTTGAACTCGCGTGGTGTTCAACAGCTTCTCTTCCTCCAAGCCTCTGTGACTGACACCAATATTCACCAGTTTTATACTGGTAGGTCGGATTTTAAGCTTTTTCTATTATTCTTACTGTACATTAGGCCCAAAGCATACAGCTCTCCAACAAAGCTGTCAGCGTTCTAGCCATCAGCTGATAGGGGAAAGCTGAGGGCTGGCAGTGTCAGATGTTATGTATGTTGATAATGGAAGTATTTGCATTTGATAATGATACTTGGCTTCTAAATCAGAGGCACAGCAGCAGAGGTTTATGTTAGCATAGTCTTTCAAAGGCATGTTTCTCCAAGCTTGCATTTTTCCAAAGGATAATCCAGTAGGTATTAGATCATGATGCATGCTTATCTGTTGAATGTGGGAAAACAAGCTAGTAGCTGTAAAACTCAACACAGCCCTTCTTTTTAGAGAAGAATTAGAATCAGCATGAGTAACTGCTCTTTCTCTTACACATAGAGATAAATTTTAAGTTCAGAGAGCAAAGTACTGCAATTTTCTGTTGATGGGTATATGTACTAATGTTTAAAGAATATAATCCTCTATGTCTTGCCCTAAATCTTGTAATGTATATATTATTTTATTTACCAATGGTTTACCAAACCCTTCAGCTGTTTTCCTTGTCCTTTAAAGTATGTACAGGGGAAAAAAAAGAAAATGTGGATCTGAAGATCTTATTTTTTTATCATCAGGAAAGTGTTTTGAAATAAACTTGTGTAAACAAGAAGTATAAGGCTTTATCTTCAACAAATAATGAAGCTTTGAGAATTGAAAGATCTAAATCAGCTTCCAAAATGTAATTGAGGATTGCAATTACTCCACTGATCCAAACCCTGGGAAATCTTAGCAAGAAAATTAATTATTCCCTTCCAAGTGTTTTTCCACCTTTTTGTTTGCAAACTGAGAATGTGGAGAACACTGCTTTTCAACTCTGTATATGATATTTAGTGACATGAAGCAAATAAAAATGTGTAATTTATACCTCCTTCCACTTGACAGCCTGACACGATTGGAGGCTGGGGGAGAAGAGCATACTTAAAATACTTGATTTGCTATCTGCTGTTTCAGCGACAAAGCAGTGGCAAAATCCTCTAAAAACTTAGAGCAGTTGAAAGTCATGGTTGGACTTGATCTTAAAGGTCTTTCCCAACCTAAATGATTCTATGAAAGTAGTTACCATTTCTAGTTAATGCCTGGCACAAATATACACTTATGCCCTCTTCTCTGTCAAATATTCAGGTAAATCATAGAATCACAGAATGGTTTGGGTTGGAAGGGACCTTAAAGACCATCTAGTTCCAACCCCCCTGCCATGGGCAGGGACACCTTCCACTAGACCAGGTGGCTCCAACCCTATCCAGCACATTCATGAGCAAACTGAATCCAACAATTTTCTGAGGAAAGACACTCCTCAAAATTGCCAGATGCTTCTGAGGACAACTAACAGGAAATAGAAGAATGAAAACCTAGCTTTGACATACATTAATAGAAAGAAGAGCCATGCGAGGAGAATACAGATGCATTTTCCTGAAGAAAAAGCCCTACTGTTTCTTTCCTGTTGTGGGTTGGAATTATGATTTAATCAGATTTTCTCTCAGTTGTCTAACGTTTTCAGTCCTCTTCATATATTGAACTCTTCCCAGTTAGTTAATTAATTCCTAAGAAAAACAGAATTCTTGGAAAAGTGCCTTGCTCAAAACAAAATTTGGAATTTAGTGACAAAGTGCTACTGGAAATCCATTGGATCTGTATTTGCAAAATTATAGATGCTTTTGAAGAACTCTTTATTTAACATTTGCGAGGTATATTGCTTATTCTAGATGACCACAAATAATCACTTCTCAATCAATGACAATAAATTAACTGGACTTGAAAGTAAACATATTCCTTCTTTTACTTCTGTTAAAGTTTGTTTACCTCTTTCTTTACATGCTTCTGCCTCTCTCTTGCTTATCTTACAATATTCAGGAATATTCCAATAAATTTAATGGAATCAGAAAGGAATTGGCAAGAAAAGAGGTAAGACTGCAGTCGAAGGGGTGTTTATGTTTGGATCCATAAATATCTGAAGAAAAAGTTAATATTTACCTAGATGCATAAAGCTGCAAAAAATATTAACGTCTGCACTAGTTTTGGAAGAAACTGACTTCTGTCTGAAT